GCAAGTGGCTCGGGATCGTGCTTTGTGGCATTGCTCGGGCCTATGTTTAGTAGTGATTGTTTTGTTTGATTGAATAATTGAGTACTCTTGTTGGTTCGTTCGCGTCAGTTCGCCGCCGCAGCGCCGGCCAGCCGGGCGCCGGGTGGTTGCCGCTAGCACTTTGGCAGTATTCGGCACCAATGCCGTCTTAGGCCATACCGGGGCCCTTGGGCACACAAGAATTTGGGGCCCATTTGGAAAGTAGTAGTAAGTATCTTAAATTCAGTATTGTTAATTGGTTAAAATCAAATAATATGTCATTAATGACCACCTTTTTCTGCCACCAGGGCGGCGCCACTTTACAATGAGGCAAAATATTTGACAGATTTCATAGCGGGGTCGATAATTTCTTAGGAAAATGTGAACTTTTATGTTTCTTTCCTAAACTTTCTTTCAAAAAAGGAAAATATGCTGTAAATTACCAATTCGTGGTATTCTTTTTATTTATTACATTAAACTTCACTGGTCCTAAAATAAGGATGATAACAATTATTTGCTCTTAAATCTTATATTAGTGGTTGAAAATGATCATCCATACTAATATTATAAATGCGAAAGTGTGTTTGTTTGTTTGTTTGTCCTTCTTTCACGTCGTAACAGAGCGTCGGCATGGTATGATTTTTGGTATGGGGATAGTTTGGTGGCTGTAAAGTTACATAGGCTAATTTTTTCAGCGGAAAAACATATCATTTCCGTGGGAAAATCGAATATGTTGCAAAATTAAATTCAGCTAGGTGGCGCCACACAAGACGGACGACGGTACGATGGACGAACACAGAAGGTCAGAATATCTGGATTATTATGTCTTTTTACCAAAATTAAGGTAAAAAATGTATGGATATGTATTTTTCCACGCAGGACCGGGAAGAGAGCGATAAAAAACATAAAATTAACCAGCTGATTTTCTTCAAACGTTTTGGTGCATTGTAATTCACAGAATAGGCGATAACCTCGCAAACGATATTAAGTAATCCGTTGATGCTCTGCCTACGCCGCAAGGATTACAGGCGTGATTATAAGTATGGATCAGAAATACTATCACCACCTGTCACGCTTTCACCCTTAACTATTACTTAACTATGGTAGAAACAGTTCTTAGTAAGCCTTATTAATAAGCCTTAGTAATATTTTTTGAACGGAAATGAATACAGTTCTTATATGTGGTTATGAATGAATCGGTATTACAATAAGAAAAATTGTGCAAAATTATAAGAAAAATATAATTTGAGAGTTCTTATTAACTAACGTATACATAGTTTAAATTGATTCCGCTAGATGTCGTTACTAGGTTTAACTCCCGCCGCGCCGTTGAGCCGCGCGTCAACTCATAGTAGATTATAGTACCCGTTGTTAAAAATAAAACTGGGGATACATCCGACATGGGTAATTACCGACCTATCTCGCTTGCAACCACTGTAGCCAAGGTGTTTAACAGTATGTTAAATGAGTGTCTCAATAAATACGTATTAATAAACGATGCACATTTTCGGTTTAAACCGAATGTATCGACGGAGAACGCCATTTACTGTCTGAAACACACTGTCAAACACTACACCGTAAGGCGGACCCCGGTGTACGCGTATTTCCTCGACTTATCGAAGGCTTTTGACCTGGTCTCATATGTGGCCGTGGTAGGAAAAGGGGAGATCTCCCGCCGGGCAAGGTGTTCTGCCCGGGGAGTGGCTGACACTCCGTGTGATAGTTCGGAGATGTTCTATATATACTGTTTATGATTCGGAATGTTGATAGCGTGATTTAGGCTTCGGTGTATTTCGCTTGTGGCGCGACGACAGATACATACGACATACTGTGGGGCAAGTTGAGGGACGTGAGTGTGCCGGTGGATTACACGGCTCTACTAAGATACTGGTATGCTAACCAGCATAACCAGGTGAGATGGGTTGGACCTCTGTCGGAAGAATACAGGCTGGAATGCGGTGTAAGACAGGGTGGCTTAAGCTCTCCACTCTTGTTCAACCTGTATGTAAACCAACTGATTGAACGACTTAGCAGCACACATGTTGGCTGCCACATCGATGACATATGTGTCAACAACATAAGCTATGCTGACGACATGGTGCTGCTCAGTCCTTCGAGTTCGAGTTCAAGAAAAGAGTGAAATATAAGTATTTAAGGCACGGAACGGAGAAACGGAAGCCACGACATGTGCCACCCGTATGTCTCGATGTTGTACCCCTGAAAGTCGTACAGAAGTTTAAATATCTCGGTCATATAGTTACGAGCGACCTAGGAGATGATGAGGATATTGAACGAGAGCGTAGAGCGTTGTCGATAAGGGGCAATATGCTTGCCCGCAGTTTCGCCCGGTGCACTGCAGAACTTGCAGAAGTAACTTTATTTAAAGCGTTCTGTCATTCTTTCTATACCAGTGGTCTGTGGGTGACTTATACTCGCCGGACCTACAGTGCCCTGCGTGTTCAATATAACAACGCCTTTAGGATGCTGTTGAGGCTGCCGTGGCGCTGTAGTGCCTCTAAAATGTTCGCAGACGCACTCACTAATGACTTTTTCGCCATAATGGGTAGAAAAGCAGCGTCTTTCCTGCAGCGCTTACGTACCAGCAACAACGGCATCCTAAGGGTAATTGCTGCCAGGCCCGGCTGCCCCATACTGCACCACTGTATGACGGTAGCTATTGGGCGAAAAAAATAATTTGTACATAATTCACATTAACTAACAATACTAACTTAGAAGTTAAGGAAAATTGTTACTAACATACTAAAAATCTATGGATGTTCTTTACGTCTGAAAAAACACTTATTATTATTGGGGTATCTATATAATTTTCTTACCTGGTTGGGTTCTATAAATATATAATTATAAATTAAAATGAAAAGATAAATATACATAAATATCAATAAAATAAAATAAATACAAAAACTACATAAATAAATAAGATCCAACCAGATGGGAGCCTTCGGCAGGGGAGACCAAACGGCCGAGGGTTAGGGAAAGAAACCGGCGGACGATGCGGGCGGTATCGAGGAGCACCGCCTTCTGCATTTGAGCCCGGAGCGGTCCGTCACGGAGTCCCAGTCGCCTCAGATGACCCGAGAGGCTGACTGGGATTAGCCCATTCGCAGAGACGACTACTAATTTCACAATATCAGGCTTATTCGCAAGAATAGTCCTGTCTGTGATGATGGCCCGGTTCCAGTAGAGCCTGGCGCGGTCATTTTCGAGCACGGCTTCCGGCAAGTACTTGTAATACGGCACTTTTCGGTCCACGAGACCGTATTTCAGAGCGAGCTCCTGGTGTAGAATTCTGGCTACTAGGTTGTGTCTGTGCAAGTACTCAGAGTTAGAAAGCGCCGAACAACCGGAGATGACATGCCTGAGTGACTCCCCGGGATGGCGACAAGCTCGACAGACGTCGACGGTGCCATCCTTTAGGATGTATCTCCGATAGTTGTTGGTCTTAATAACTTGATCCTGTATTGCACAGACAAAACCCTCGGTTTCCCCAAAGAGGTCACCGAAACGTAGCCAGTTGAGGGATGCGGCTGTATCTACGTGGGGCTCATGTAGAGCCCTGTAGTACCTCCCGTGGAGCTCCTTCTCCTTCCATACGGTCTCCCGGTCGGAAATGCTCTGCACTGCCGGGTCTTGCCATTGCTCGTTGGCTAAGGATAGAGGGGTAAGTCCTTTATCACAAGAAATGACGTCCTTATAGAATGGATCATCAGATCTCGTCAGGAAGTAATCACGGAGGCTGCACACTTCGCGATTATGCATGGTGAGCGCGCTCAAGAAGCCACGACCACCATGCTTCCGCGACAAGTACAGCCTCATTACCGACGATCTCGGATGATGCATCCTATGGGACGTCATGGTGGTGCGGACTTTTCTATCCAGGGCGTTAAGTTCAGTCTGAGTCCATCTGAGTATGCCAAAGGTATACATGAGGACAGGCATGACCCAGCCGTTATATGCGTGTGCCTTATTCACACCGGACAAAAGGCTGTTAAGCACTTTGGTCAAGCGTGCATAAAACACGTCGCAAACTGACTGTTTCATACCAGTTTCATCGATACCGATGTTTTGTGACATACCCAGGTATCGGTATGTTTCAGCCTCGGAAAGGGTCCTTAAGTTGACGGGCATAGATAAGTCTACGCCCTCAGAGTTAGCAACCCTTCCCCTTTCAACATGGAGGACCGCACGCTTATCCGTCCCAAGCTCCATTCCAATGGAATTGCTAAATTCACAAGCGATGTTTAGCAATTCTATAAGATGGGAGCGACTGGAGGCGAATAACTTGAGGTCATCCATATAGAAAAGGTGGGTCACTTTTATACCTCCTTTCCGAAGCTGAAATCCCCTCCCGGAGCCCTCCAGTAAAGTACTGAGAGGGTTCAAAGAGAGGCAGAACCAGATTGGACTTAGACAGTCGCCCTGGAATATACCCCTTCTTATCTTTATGCGGCTTTCCGCAGCCGTCATCCGCTCGCCTAGATGACAGAGGATCGTACTCCACTGCCCCATACACTGCTCGAGGAAGTCTCTAACTGTACAGTCTATCTTGTACAGCTCGAGGACTCTCTTTAGCCATGTATGGGGCACCGAGTCGAATGCCTTTCTGTAGTCTATCCAGGCGGCGGAGAAGTTCCGACGGTTGCGTTTCACCACTTTGCCAATGACCGCGTCAATGAGGAGTGGTTCTTTCGTTCCACGACCACCGTCCCGAGATCCATTTTGAGCGCGCGACATCACCTGATTTGAGTCCAGGTGACAAGTGATTCTCGCGCTCAAAATGGATGTTAGTGTCTTGTATATGGTCGGTAGACACGTGATGGGGCGGTATTTGCTCGGGTCTGTGGTACCCTGGTCTTTAGGAACCAAATGAGTGATCCCAGTAGTGAAGAGGCTTGGGAGCGACTTCTGGTTGAGAGCCTCTTGAAACTGTCGGGCGAGCACAGAGTGACACACCATGAACCCCTTCAGCCAGTAGTGATGCACTCCGTCAAGCCCCGGACTTTTCCTGTTCGGGGCCCTAGGACCGCCTCAGCTACGTCATCCGGCGTTATGATGACGGGGTCCATGGGCGTAATACCCGCACACTGACTCGCCACAACTTCCGTCCAAGGGCCCTCGCTGTGGTTTACGGGCTCTGACCACAGGCCGCGCCAGAATGCTACAGTGTCGGCCTGATTCGGTGCTGGACCCGTTCCACTTACCATTGGTCGCTCCAATGATTCATAGAGCCTCTTCTGATCACTCTGGAAGAGACGATTCTGGTTGAACCGTGTCGACCTCTCGGTATATCGCCGAATCCGCTTTCCCCAAGCAGCGATTCTCTGCTTCAGATCATCTATGCGCTCCGTCAGTTTTTGCGTTATATCCGGCTGGGACAAACTGACATTTGTCCCAGCAAACGCCATCCTGACGGTGCGCACAATTCTTGGCCTGTTGTTGCCTGATCTGAAGCATATCAGTCTGCCGATGAGAGCTCTAGCCTTTGCGATACGTTCCTCAATTCTTCTTCTCCATGCTGGGATAGCGCTACTATGGCCAGTAGCGCGTCCAGCCGTGGAAACCTTGGCGCCTATGATACGGCAGACTGCCAGCGCGGCGCCAAAAAGAATTGAGTCCGTCTCGCAAAGGTCCCGGCTGGCTTCCAAATAGGTCACCAGCATTGGGTTCAGAGCCCTCACGACAGCCCGATTCCGCTTGCTTAGGGCTATGCGGGGGAAGTCGCGGTCGATTTTCGAGAGGCGTACTGCGCGTTTCCACAATCGCCTCTTCCAATGTACTCCTCATATGCTCTAATTCCAGTTCCTGGGTGACTGTTCCATCATCGCTTGAATCAACCACAACTGGGGTATTCACGGCGGCATCCACGTTTGCGGGTTGCTCTACCATTTGTGGTGCCGCATCCTCAGCCGTAGCATTCTCATCCGACGAGGGTTATTATTATTATTATTATGGGGTATCTATATAGTTTGCTCATCTGGTTGGGTTCTATAAATATATAATTATAAATGAAAATGAAAAGATAAATATACATAAATATCAATAACATAAAATAAATATAAAAGTACATAAATAAGTAAAAGCCCAACCAGATGGAGGCCCTCGGCAGGGGAGACCAAACAGCCGAGGGTTAGGGGGAAAGGGAAAGAAACCGGCGGACGATGCGGGCGGTATCGAGGAGCACCGCCTTCTGCATTTGAACCTGGAGCGGTTCGCCACGTAGTCCCAGCCGCCTCAGATGACCCGAGAGGCTGACTGGGATTAGCCCGTTTGCAGAGACGACTACAGGAATAATTTCGGTCGGCAGACCACCCCACATGTCGGTCACCTCGTGAGCCAGGTCCAGATATTTTGTTTGCTTGTCTGTTTCGGCTTTCACGAGGTTCTCGTCATACGGAATGGTAATGTCGACCAAAAATATCCTTGACTGTGCCCGGTCCATCAGCACAATATCAGGCTTATTCGCAAGAATAGTCCTGTCTGTGATGATGGCCCGGTCCCAATAGAGCCTGGCGCGATCATTTTCGAGCACGGCTTCCGGCAAGTACTTGTAATACGGCAATTTCCGATCCACGAGACCGTATTTCAGAGCGAGCTCCTGGTGTAGAATTCTGGCTACTAGGTACTGCCTGTGCAAGTACTCAGAGTTAGAAAGCGCCGAACAACCGGAGATAACATGCCTAAGTGACTCACCGGGATGGCGACAAGCTCGACAGATGTCGACGGTGCCATCCTTTAGGATGTATCTCCGATAGTTGTTGGTCTTAATAACCTGATCCTGTATTGCACAGACAAAATCCTCGGTTTCCCCCGAAGAGATCACCAAAGCGTAGCCAGTGGAGGGAGGCTACTGTGTCTACGAAAGGCTCATGTAGAGCCTTGTAGAACCTCCCGTGGAGCTCCTTCTCCTTCCATACGGTCTCCCGGTCGAAAATGCTCTGCACTGCCGGGTCTTGCCATTGCTCGTTGGCTAAGGGTAGAGGGGTAAGTCCTTTATCACAAGAAATGACGTCCTTATAGAATGGATCATCCGATCTCGCCAGGAAGTAATCACGGAGGCTGCACACTTCGCGATTATGCATGGTGAGCGCGCTCAAGAAGCCACGACCACCATGCTTCCGCGGCAAGTACAGCCTCATTACCGACGATCTCGGATGATGCATCCTATGGGACGTCATGGTAGTGCGGACTTTTCTATCCAGGGCGTTAAGTTCGGTCTGAGTCCACCTGAGTATGCCAAAGGTATACATGAGGACAGGCATGACCCAACCGTTATATGTGTGTGCCTTATTCACACCGGACAAAAGGTTGTTAAGCACTTTGGTCAAGCGTGCATAAAACACGTCGCAAACTGACTGTTTCATACCAGCCTCTGTTTACGGGCTCTGACCACAGGCCGCGCCAGAATGCTACAGTGTCGGCCTGATTCGGTGCTGGACCCGTTCCACTTACTATTGGTCGCTCCAATGATTCATAGAGCCTCTTCTGATCACTCTGGAAGAGACGATTCTGGTTGAACCGTGTCGACCTCTCGGTATATCGCCGAATCCGTTTTCCCCAAGCAGCGATTCTCTGCTTCAGATCATCTATGCGCTCCGTCAGTTTTTGCGTTATATCCGGCTGGGACAAACTGACATTTGTCCCAGCAAACGCCATCCTGACGGTGCGCACAATTCTTGGCCTGTTGTTGCCTGATCTGAAGCATATCAGTCTGCCGATGAGAGCTCTAGCCTTTGCGATACGTTCCTCAATTCTTCTTCTCCATGCTGGGATAGCGCTACTATGGCCAGTAGCGCGTCCAGCCGTGGAAACCTTGGCGCCTATGATACGGCAGACTGCCAGCGCGGCGCCAAAAAGAATTGAGTCCGTCTCGCAAAGGTCCCGGCTGGCTTCCAAATAGGTCACCAGCATTGGGTTCAGAGCCCTCACGACAGCCCGATTCCGCTTGCTTAGGGCTATGCGGGGGAAGTCGCGGTCGATTTTCGAGAGGCGTACTGCGCGTTTCCACAATCGCCTCTTCCAATGTACTCCTCATATGCTCTAATTCCAGTTCCTGGGCGACTGTTCCATCATCGTTTGAATCAACCACAACTGGGGTATTCACGGCGGCATCCACGTTTGCGGGTTGCTCTACCATTTGTGGCGCCGCATCCTCAGGCGTAGCATTCTCATCCGACGAGGGAACAGCCTCACGTCGTAGCCGTTCGAGTTCGGCGACATCAAATATATTTGAGCGCAAGATATACCGAACTCGGTCTGCCAGGTTTTGCTCTGTGACGGTTAAAGATGGCTCCAGCTCAGCAAAAAGACGATGCATCCTAGCCCGATACGCCAAACATCCAGTTTCTCCCCCTTTCGCCCCAAAATACGCCCGCAATGCGTTGCTGTTCATCTGGGTTGTCCAACGCATGCGGCGTACTCCACCAGAGGCGGGTGCCGATTGCTGGGCCCGCGAAGACCCTGCCGACACCAAGCCAGCTGGTGGGGATGATGGATGCGAGGGGCTGCTGGGTGGTCGTGCAGCACATCGCGCTCGGCTGGCGGTTCGCATGCTGCCGCGTCCAGCGCCAGCTCCAGACGCGCCCTGGCGACCTCCAGGCAGCGGCCCTTTGCGCGTTCTTCCGTATTCCATCATCCATAGTGGTGGGCGTCATTTAGCGGGAGACGCCCAGACCCGGCGCCGTTTCATGGTGAGGCCATGTGCACAAGCGGGCCTTTGCACCTTCAATTTTTGCCGAGGCACGGCACTAACACCTTTTGGCAAGGTGCTGACTGACTGCGCTGACGTAGCGGTTTTGTCACATAACCGTTACGTCAGCGGGCGATGGGGTCGTCACTTCCCTACGCCTTATTATTATTATTATTATAGTGCATACGGTACCTATACGCTTAAATTTTTTCTATTTTGTAGCTTATTCGACTACCTGCTTTCGATTTCGGTTGTTTGTTATTTGCTTTGTGATTTGGTTAAGGTTGAATGGATTTATATTGGCTTTCATTTTCGGATTTGTGTATTTTCTTGGATCGGTTTTGTTGATTTGGTTGGTATTCCTTTATACATATTTAGACTCTGGCTTTGATTTTGGATTTTGTTTATTTAGAATCGTGAATTCGTTTTCGTTGTTTCAGGTTGTTTAACAATATTTCAAAGGAATATTAATAGTATAGATAGTGTAGGTATACGGTACCTATACACTTACTTCTTTTTTCGATGGTTATATTTATATTAACTACTGCTTTCGATTTCGATTTTCTGCGATTTGTTTTGTTATTTGGTTTAAGTTGATTAGATTTTTTTTGGCTATCGTTTTCGGATTCGTGTTGTGTCTTGAATTGGTTTTGTTGTTTTGATTTTAAAAAATATTTAAAAGGAATATTTATTCCTTTTAGATATTTTGGATTTGATTTTAAAAAAATATTTAATTCCTTTTAGGTATTTTAACGTTTTTTTATAAATAGGTTTTTTGTTACTTCATAATGCCTCGCAAACGTAAGTCCAGCCTTTCAAGAGTATCTTCTCAAAGACAAGCGCAAAGATTAGCTCGAGCTAGAATTTTTAGAAGATGCTGAACTGAGAAGGCAAGAACAAGCAGTGCTTCAGGCTGCTTTTAGAGCATCTGAGACACCTTCTCAACGTCAGCAAGGGCGTCTTGAATAGACAGAGCGTCAGGATGCTTTACGAGCTTCCGAAACACCTTCTCAAACTCAGGAAAGGCATCTTGAACAGGCAGAGCGTCAAGCTACTTTAAGAGCTTCTGAAACACCTTCTCAAAGTCAGCGATGGCGTCTTGAACAGGCAGAGCGTCAAGCTACTTTAAGAGCTACTGAAACACCTGCTCAAAGTCATCAAAGGCGTCTCGAACAGGCAGAGCGTCAAGCTACTGAAACACCTGATCAAAGTTAGCAAAGGCGTCTTGGAAAGGCAGAGCGTCAATCTACTTTAAGAGCTACTGAAACACCTGCTCAAAGTCAGCAAAGGCAATTCGAACAAGCGGAACGTCAGGCCGCCTTAAGAGCCGCGGAAACACCTGATGAAACTCAACACAGACTCATTAAGCAAGCTGAACGTCAATCTACTATAAGGGCATCTGAAACACCAGAACAGACACAGGCGCGAAGAGATGCAAATGCACAGCTCCAAGATGAACGACGACAAAATTTTCAAAGAAAAAATTGTTTATAAAAATCACAGGTTAGTTGTTATCGGACTGATGGACAAGGCGTGTCGATTTTGCAGCGCTTTAAAATGGAAAGATGAGATCGCAGGCATGTGCTGTTCCAATGTCAAAGTGTCTCTTCCGTTACTTAGGGAACCAGAAACAACTTTGAAAACTCTCTTTTATATGATGCCAATGAGTCACGGCTCTTTTTAAACAGGATCCGGAAATATAACTCATGCTTTCAAATGACGTCCTTCGGAGTAGACCGGGAAATAATAATACCGGGATTTTCGCCTACATTTTTAGCGTGCTAGGGCAAATTTATCATAGAATAGGTTCACTTTTTCCAGCTGAAAACGAACAGCACACATTTTTACAAGTATATTTTATGGGTGACAAAGAAATTGAGGTAGACCGTCGCTGCCAATTTATCCAGGGAGTTGAGAGAGACACAGTGTTCAAAATTCAAAGATTCTTTCATGAACGTAACATTTTAGTCAAAACATTTAAAACTACTTTAGAAAACCTACCCGAAGAGGATTATAAAGTCGTCATTCACGCAGATCGGACCCCTCGAGGAGAGCATGAAAGGCGCTACAATGTACCTTTGATAAACGAAATAGCAGCCGTAATTAGTGGTGATCAATTTTCTTCACGAGACATTGTATTGCGAGCACGTGATGATACTGTGAGGGCCCAATATTATTATTAATAATTAAATTCAATAAAAAGGCGCATCAAAAATAGTCTTAAAAGATATATATTAAACAATAAAATAACATTAACAACCATAAAGTTAATATAAATACATTTCAGACATTAGACCAATAACATAGTAAATTAAAGGCAAAATATTGTCTTCCATAATAAATAAACTTATTAAAAACTTGAAAAAAATATTTAAAATAAGATCATTAATACCATAGAAATACTAGTCGAAAATATTATAAAAATAAAGATAAATAACATTTATAAGATAATTAGAAAAGGAGACAATCAATTTTTGTATGGAGAATGGGCCCACCACAAATTTTCGCGTCACGCAATGAAATGGATGTCGATTTATTCCTTATAATTTATAGTTTACAAAAGTAATATTAGTTTTACCACATCTAGACGGAAAATCGAGAAATTGACAATTAAAATATGAATTTTAAAATAACCTATAAATAAACTAAAAGCTATTTATAGTGGTTTTTACCGGTATTTTAAGTTAAAATAGTGCACTGTTGAATAATAGTTCATATAAAACCAAGTTGTAGGTACATTCAGCATTTTCAGGTACTTCAATATTTTTAGTAGTTACGGCAAAATATAGTGCCTGTCTGTGTACAAATGTGGTATGGATACAATTTTTTACATATATTGATTGTGAGTGTACTTCCCAATTACCGTTAAAATAATATGAATAAATTCAAGATGACTAAGGTATAATATATCCATTTATATTTACAATATTACCAACACACGTTATATAGTAAGAAAGATGTTTTAAACTGACTGTGTAAAAAACAAGTTATAATGCAACCGTATTTATAGATGGTAAATCATCATTTCCAACATAGTCTATATAATTCAGACATATAATTCAGATCTATTTATGCAGACAGACAGACAGGTCCGGTGTCAAGACTTTTTTTTAATATGCTTTGATTGATTATTAAATACCTAATTATACATCTTAAAATGACTGGGTTCTAAAATACCAAAATGACTAGGTAATATCATGCTTATCTGTTATTACACACTGATAAATTGTGAGGAAGTAAGATGTTTTGAACTGTTTGTGCCAGGATAACAAACACACAGGTATAGTTTAATTGTATTTATTATTAGCGATCCGCCCCGACTTCGCACAGGTGATTTCTGGATTTCGACAACAGCGCCACCTACCGAGTCCATATGTGAATATGAATCATATAGAGACCCGTTCAAACACACATAAACATATCATCAAAATCGCTTGGATGGTTTCTAACGGACATAGGTAGAAACATTTTTCGTGTTTTCATATCAAAAGATCATATTAAAAGATTTTTTCAAAATAACTTGATGGTAACATTTCTATTTATGATACGATATTGATATGTAATAAGTCCCAAAGATCATGTATAATCACTGCATTAATTATGGTTAAAATCGTCAGTGTTTTATGAGTCCTCTTTTAAAAATAACACAGCAGACAGGTGCAGTGCCGGCCCTTTGTTCATTAAAGTATTCATCTATTAGCAAGTATAAATCCCATACATCATTAAAATATAATGTCTCGCCCGTTTACGATATTATTAGAAATCAGAAGGATATTGTCAATTAAAAGAGATAAAAAAGGGTGCCAAAGCAATAAATTCAACTTTGCTCGGCGTTTATTTATAAATTACACATATAACATAATATATAACAGATAATAAAGCACACAGTAAAATAGAAATAGTTCAAATAAGCAACAAAAATTACAATTTTTAGTCATCATTATTCATCATCATTACAACAGTCCACTGCCGAACATATGGCTCCTAAATTAAAGATATAATGTAAAATATTACAGAGGCCTTCCGTGAATTGCCATCACGTTCCGTCCCGTATGGTGTCGTTAAAGTCGACAGAATAAAATAAAAATACTAGGAGATGGGGAGCAGCATCTTCCTATAGAATACCACAAAAAACTTTGGTTGCCACAAGTGAAGCAACTATAGCAAAAATGATCATTTATATTACAATATTAATACGCATTAAGATTAATAATCATCATTCATCATTTTCAATATCATTACTTGAAAGTAATATATCATCTAAAAAAGATGCAGGTGGTTCAACCTTCCTTCAATATTGTCTAAGTCCTGGAAGGAGTTCATGTATAAAAGAAAATTTTCCTAAGTTGTTGAAGGAGTTCGTGTATAAAAGAAAGGAAATTTCTTGTTGGAAGTTGTGGAAGGAGTTCACGTATAAAAGAAAAGTTATGGAAGGTGTTCATGTATAGATGTCTTGTATAGAAGAGCTGCCGGAGATACATACCTACAGTTGTACATATATATGGGGTGGTCGGGAGCCCGACTGCCTGAAGTACTGTAGCACAATGACTAGTCCTATATTAGGGACTTATGATAATAAACTCAATGATACAAAAGCAATACTATAGAAGGTCTCTATGATGAATATGCATTACAATAGTAGGGTCGTGGGTTCGAACCCTATATATTAATGACTTATGAAAGTAAGGTCTATGATACAAAAGCAATACTATAGAAGGTCTCTATGATGAATATGCATTACAATAGTGGGGTCGTGGGTTCGAACCCTATATATTAATGACTTATGAAAGTAAGGTCTATGATACAAAAGCAATACTATAGAAGGTCTCTATGATTAATATGCATTACAATAGTAGGGTCGTGGGTTCGAACCCTATATATTAATGACTTATGAAAGTAAGGTCTATGATACAAAAGCAATACTATAGAAGGTCTCTATGGTTAAT